TGTTGAATTGTGCTATACAAATAAACTTGCCTTGCCTAACAGCAGTGTCCATGTTGCCGTCCCTGGCTCTCTTACTTTGTGTCGGCTACAGGAGAGAATATATTGGGAGTTATTGGATTATTCAGCATGTCAAGAGTGTTTGAGAAGAAGCGGACACAGAAAGGGTTTTCAGCCGCAATTGGACTCCCCATATGGCAACAATCAGAGAACAGTAGCAAGATCTGGTATTATTGTCCAGCCTTATAAGCAACCTGGACAGTAAAATGTGGTCACAGCGGATCAGACGTGAGGTGCGCTTGAAAACCTCCAGCGGTGTCACGCGCTCCCAGACGAGTGCTTAACCTTGACCTTTGGAAACCACACTGGTATGAAAGTGACACTCTTACTTCTATCTACTCTCAATTTTGGAGAAAAGATGCAAATATGTGGGCGCAGAATGGTCATGATTTTTAAAATGGATTTGGTCAGTTTGATTCAACTTACATTCAACTCATGAAAGCATTTTTGTGCAGGTGCTTTTTATTTTTTTGCTTTATGTGGAACAAATATAAAAAGGAATGGATAGTTAGCATAAGCAAAAACAGACCTTATGGATGATGTAAAGAAAGATAGACATTTCCAAGTGCAGAATTTGATTAACAACAGGGAAACCTAATGCCACTGATGCAAAGCACCTGATTGAGACCAGGCCTTTCAAGATGTGTGACATCTAAGAGCAAGCAGGAGTCTCTGCAAGGCTGACAACAGCGCCCCCTGCAGGTAATGAGTATTTAAAATCCACTTTTGTTTTTAAAATTGCATGATTGTGTAGCATGCTTGCTAGGTTCGAGTCGCCATTAGCTTTTAACAACTCAAATGTGCGAGGTAAGGGCAAAAAGCAAACTGGCTAGGTTCCATCTCTAATGCTGAATGTTTGTATGCTTTTGCACACAATCTTTGCCCTCTCAATATTGATTTTTGTTAATAAGTTCATTTCTGACTCATTGTGGCGTGGGTGTGGTCTCTGGCCAGCTGCAGAGGAAGGGGTGACGCAGCGAGCTCCCGGGGCGGCGCAGGGGCGGGGTGAACAGGTGTGCTGGGATCTGAAGGTGATTGTGACTCTTTATATGTTGACAGTGACAGTCGGAGGGGAAGGAGAGCGGACGTGACAGAGAGAGCGGGAGTGTCTGTGTCCCAGTACAAAACGAAAACCAGTTATAAATAAAAGTTCTGCTGTCATCACACTCGTGTCCAGCGTGTGCATAACGGGTCAAACGTTACACTCATTTAAAGAAACTAACCTCAACCTAACGTCTACATAATAGTTTTTAAAGATTAATACATATTTATTAAATCTCCAAAAGTTGATTCTGTTCATCTGGACGTAGCGTTTTCTGGGAGAAACGTTTCGTCACTCATCCAAGTGACGTCCAGATGAACAGAATCAACTTTTGGAGATTTATTTTCCTGGATGATTGAGAATGCATCAAGATATTTATTAAAAAATAGAACAAAAGGCAACAGGGGATATAACGATACCAAATAATGTCTTAATTTTGCACTTTTAAATCGTTCATTTAAACGGAATGAAAACTCAAAATTCCAAACACAAGAAAATAAATACTGCAGGTTTAAGAGTTTCCCTGAATATGGACGCCCAACCACACACTGTAAGATCTCATGTAGGGATGCACCGATACCGATACTGGTATCAGGTATCGGGGCCGATACTGTAAAATGTGTGT